TGCTCTTAGTACAGGTGCAATACTATCTACATATCAACGAACACGCGTTGAATCTGTGGCAATACGATTAGGACTCGTGCCTCTTTCGTTCTTGTGGCAGTATCCGATTCTTCCACCTGGTATGCAGATTTCTCTTCTGCAGGATATGCAAGCTGTAGGATTGGATGCGAGAATTATTAAGGTGGCGAGTGGTGGACTCGATGAGAGTTTTCTGTGGGAAAACGTTGCGAGTGAGAAGGGGATGCGGAGAGTGGAAAGAGCCATGAAAAGATTCAGTATTGATGGTGATGGAGCTGTGTTAGGTGAGGGCGGCGAGTTTGAAACTCTGGTTGTGGATGGGCCGAGTTGGTTATTCAAAAAGAGAATAGTAGTGAAGACAGAAGACACGAGGATCGTAAGGGAAGGTGGAGGATCTGCTTGGATACAGATAAGAAAGGCTTCTTTAGTGGATAAAGAAAGCATCGAGAACAAGGAAAGCTCGTGTAGAGTACCGGAACTGTTTGACCAGAGATCTTTGGAAACCCTATCTGCGTTGGACAAAAATGATCATTCCTACGACCTTTCCACGTCAAGCACACCGGGTAGCGGATCATTGGCATCGCCAATGTGGGAGCTCAAATCTTTGAGTGCTAACGGCATCGAAGGCCGCAACATGATACATTGGACAATTATACCAGAAAGTGCCTCTTGTTCATCGATATTAGACGAAGCCAAAAGTGTCGTGGAATCCATAAAAGCGCGACTCAATCAAGCATCGTTGAAAACCAGCGACATCGTTTCGACCATGATTATGCTACGCTCAATGGAAGATTTTACAACAATCAACAAGGTACTTCCAATTACAACTTGATGCCTCACCAACATACATATCTGACACATCTATAGATCTACGGCACTCTCTTCCCTCATCCCAATCCACCATCTCGCGTAACCATCTCCTGCGGATCCTCGATGCCCCTAAACAAATCTCTAATAATTCATCTCACACTGCATGTTCCCTCGGCTACCTCGTCACCCCGCAAAGCTCTACACGTACAATCACGTTCCTACTGGGCCCCTGCCAATATCGGGCCATACTCCCAAGCCAGTTCAATCCCCTCCTCGCTGTCCTCCTCTCAAACCCTCACCGTCGCCGGACAAATTCCTCTCATCCCCCACACCATGCTTCTTCCCACCTCATCACCCTCATCCTCACCCCCCTTCCACATCTCCACCATCCTCTCCCTCCAACATCTCCTCCGCATCGCAGACGCCACCTCCATCAAATGGTTCACCAGCGCCTGCATCTACATTCCCACCCCGCCCCCCACCTCCCCACCCATCCTCTCAAAAATCGCCTACCAAGCCTGGAAACACATCCACGCCCCCCCATCCCACGATTCGGACCACGATTCCGACGCCGAACCGCGCGATCTCTGGGAAGAAAAATTCCGCTACTCCAACACCACTCCCCTCTCAAATGAACACGCGACAACCACGTATCCCGATCACGATATCCTGCAATCGAATCCCCTTACGATCCCACCTTTCTGGACCGCGGAGGTGGAATCCTTGCCCCGTGGAAGCGAGGTGGAATGGCATGCGCATGTGGGCGTATGCGATGGTCCTATTGATGTTTGTTTTCTTTCTCTTTCTCTTCTCTTCTCTTCTCTGTTTTCCTTTTTTTTTTTTTTTTTTTTTTTTTTTTTTTTTTTGCTTACTGAAGAGATAACAATACAATAACTAACGACCACCTTCACAACAGATAAAGAATATCGAGACGCACGAGCACCGCGGCAATTCGCTCACGACTTTTTCTACACGTCATACTGTTCTTACTTTTCCTTGTGATGTTAGTCCTTCACCTGATGATCTTAAAGATGACTCTAGTAATCGCGGGTTGATTCATTTGGTTTACGTGGATACATCGCTTGTCGATGTGAATAAGTTTTTAAGTGTAGGATGGGAAGGTAAAGGAGTGATACCTTGCAAGAGTTTATGGGATGGCGAGGGGAGAAGATTGAGCACTGTGATTGTATTCTGGGGAGATGCGAGGTAGAGATGATGAAAAAAGACTTGTGATGTTGAATAGATTTTCGATTGGGATATCTAATGAATATCTGATATGATATGATGTGATATGATATGATTGGTGATGCTGAACGAAATCTCGATATTAAGATACTTCCGAAATTGTCATTGTCCCTATCTCTTTGCTGGACTACCAACCCCCACCACCCCCTTTCCCTCCAAACCCACCCTCCTCAATCTTCTTCATACCCTGTCCCCTTTGACTCTTCTGCTGCGCCGCCTCATGTTTCCTCAACTCTTCTGGCACCCTACTAATGCTGCTCTTTGTCAACATCTGCTTCAAATCATACATCGTATCGCTATCCTCATTGCCCAAGAATGTGATCGCCACACCACTCTTCCCTGCTCTTCCCGTTCTACCAATACGATGAGTATAACTCTCAATATTCGTCGCCATGTTGAAGTTCACTACCAACGATACATCAGGCACATCAATACCACGACCCGCCAAATCAGTCGCAACGAGCACATTAGTAGCGCCAGAACGCACAGATGCCAGAGCTGCTTCACGCTGCTCTTGAGTTTTGGAACCGTGGAGTGTAACGGATGTGAAGCCCATATGTTTGATATCACGAGCCACAGCATCGCAGTTACGCTTAATGTTAACGAAGACGATGATAGGAGGTGCGAATTCACCCGAGGCAAGAATCTCATTGAGACGCTTCTTGCGTTTATCCTCACCGGAAACAAATTCGACGCGCTGTTCGACAGTCTCGACGGCCTCTCCAATATTACCAATGGTGACAATTGCAGGACGACGAAGATACTTTTTGGCGATTTTTTCGACTGCTGGAGGCATAGTGGCTGTGTACATCATAGTTTGACGATAACGGTCCTTGCCTCCCAGATGCCTACTCATCGCTTGGGCATCTTCTGCATCATCTGTATCTGGCTTTTCGTTACTGACCGGAAGGGCATCCAGAATTTTATTCACAGATTCTTCGAATCCAAGATCAATCATACGATCTGCTTCGTCCATGATGATATAACAACATTGCCCAAGGACTAGAACTCTTCTTTCTATACAATCAACTAGACGACCGGGTGTCGCAATGATAATTTCAGCACCGTTACGAAGATTGTAAGATTGTTCTTCCAGAGAATGACCACCAACGATACTAACACAAGTGAATCCAAGGGGCGTTGCAAACTTCTTGGCTTCAACTTCAATTTGCTGTGCCAGTTCACGGGTAGGCGCGAGAATGATAGCATACGGTCCATCGTTCTTCGTAAATTCGTTCAGTGGAGGCAGTTCGGAAATGTAAACCAGTAATGGCAGCAAGAAGGCCGCGGTTTTACCCGAACCAGTAACAGCAACACCGATCAAATCTCTTGCTTGTAATGCTATAGGGATAGCAGCTCTTTGTACCGCTGAGGGCTCGTCATAACCAACTTGATGGATAACGTCCAGAAGACGTTTTGGTAACTTGGATTCTGACCAATTCCGCATGGGGTTTGGAATCGCTCCTCCTTTTGTACTGATATTGAAATCTTCCTTGAAAATACGCCAATCTCGTTCTCGCATGTGTTCCAATTTCTTCTCACTCCAATGTTTGTCAAGTGAGTTCCTGCCGGCATCTTCTTTCCTCCGCCTCTCCATTTCCACAATTTCTCTTGCACGCGCGCCTCCAGCTTCCGCATCTCGTTCTTCTAAAGCCTTCGCATATTTCAGAGTTGCTCCTTCGTCTTCAGCAAAGCCGGCCAGTCTACCTCGACCATATAGACCTGCTTCCGCGCGGTTTTGGTAAATAGGGTTATAATCTGGGCTAGTATCCTCCTCGGCATTCCACTCAAAGTTAAACTTCTTCTCCGTCGTCCTTCTCCGTTTCTTCTTCGCGGAAAATGTTGATTGATTTGTTTCGGCGCCCATATATCGCGTTCTTATCAAAGCAGCTTGAAGATCTTCCGCGTTCGCAGGTCGTTTCTCGCCAGCTACAGAAGCTTTACCCGTACCTGCCGCAGCCGGTTTAGCTGGTTTTGGCGGTGGCTCCATATCGTTCGGCTTATCACTGGAACTTCGACTTTGTTGACTGTTCCGCATAGCTCGAGGCCCAGTGGGCACAAAAGAGGAATCTCGACGCCCATTTTCCTGTTGATATGATCGTTCATAACCATCTCGGCCATTCGTAGCAGATCCATATCCGTTTCCATTTCCATTGTCACTTCCTACAGATATCCGGTTATCCTGTTCCGCCTCACGTTTACGCTTCTGTTCTTCGACCTCTTTTGCTCTTTTCTCAAGAGCCAGTTTCTCTCGAGCAGCTTTTGACAGAAATTTAGGCTGTGATTTCATATAATCAGTATTGGTTCCAGGAAATACTAGACATGCATTGTGAACATGGCTGCCAGCTTCATGTGAAAGGGAGAGAATGCATACCTTAGCTGCGGCTTCATCTGCCTCTTTCTTCTTCTTCAAAATATCTTCGATGCTCAGTGGACCTGGTTTTGGAGCTCCCCAGCCCTTCTTCTTTTTGGGTTCTGGGGGAGGAGGCTGTAACTCGGAGGGAGGAGGTGGTGGTGGAAGATCGCTGGAAGGGGGAGGAGGAGGAGCTAATGAGCTTGGGGGTGGTGGAGGAACGAATAAATCTGGAGGTGGAGGTGGAGGGGATGGTGGTCTTCCATCGTTATCGCTCGGGGGCGGCGGTACTGCATCAGTGCTATTCGAGTATCCATTTGAAGCCATGATTGAAAATATGAGAGGTACAATGGGTGTCTCAAAATCAGATAAAACCTGTAGCTTTACAAATGTCCGAGGAATAAAACCTGCGAAAGAGTTGACGCAATACAAAATAACTTTAAAGATTGAATATTGAAGACAAGGCTGAAGGGTCGAGGCAACCAAAAGACTTCAGCTTACATAATCACCAATCATGAATTTTATTTTGACATCAACAACATCACGAAATCTCAGCCTTTTGCGACAATCAAGATGCTGAAGCCCGTTCAATATGTGAAGCTTGCGCAATCGCTGCCACCGCAGCTGCAGAGATTTTTTGCCCGTTACCCACCTCAAGCCATTCTCCCGCAGGCCAACGCTGTCAACACGACTTCAGATGCGGCGACATCAGAAGCTGTGAGCAAGGCTACCTCGAAGATCGAGGAAACTTTGGATCAACCTACACACCCAGCAATTACAGAGGCGACGTCGCCATTCAGGCCTCACAAGCATCCAGTTACTGGGAAATGGCATGATCCAGTGTTTTCTCTCAGACGACAAGCGGATTTGTGCAAACTTGCAAGGCAACATGGAGTAGAGGAACTTTTACCTCTTTCTGTGAAGAGTACAGAGGAGAAATTACGCAAGAGGATGGAGAATGGACTGAGGGTAAAGGGTACTGGTGTTGGACAGAGAGTCAAGGGAAAGGAATCCGAGAGAACATTGAAGTCGAGGTATGTTTGGTTCTCGCATTTGATGGACTGGTCGAAGCTTTGATCTTGCGTTTTTTTTTGATACATCTACTAATTCACGGTTTGCAACAGATTGGAGAAGAGAAGAAAGGCTATGTTGGAGATGCCACAGATGATACAGACGTGGAAAGAGGTTTGTCTTCCTATATTGACCCAAGTTAATGTTCGGCTACTGATGAATATCGCAGAGAGGTCATGGTCGTGGATGGAAGAAGTGGCCAAAATAGATATGATAATGAAGATTATTTGGCGCAATGTCAGCCTCGTAGCAAGACTACTTGTTGTACAAACACCACATTGGGAATGACTGCATGGGAATGGGCGTTTCAAAATATTGTAGAATTGTGCAATTACATGCCCCCTCTTTCGCAAATTGAAAAATACCCATGATACACTTTGGGTAGAAATTCAAGAACTGTATGTCTACTTATTGGATCATGTGAAGTCTTGTGTGAATTGAGGATCTTGAGGTTCACTTTGAGATGCACCTCTTAATCGCACTTGGTTATTTAGCACGTGCAATGTGATCGAATCGACTTCCAAGAATCTACACCAAATGGTTGGTCGAATGAATGTAGCCAGCCTTTCGAAGACTTACCAATGCGGCAAATATTTGAATCCTGGACGTGAGAGATGCCATGTATAGCAGGCTGTAATATGGATATACTCTATAAGCTTGATACAAGCTGTAAACGCCAGCTTGAAGCCAACTCCATGCGTGATAGCGTTAGTGAAACACGTATGGAATGGTTCTTTCTTGAATCATTTGCCATCAACATGTTTTGATAGCATGTAAACTCCACATGGCCAGACCCAAAATTGATGAGTGGCAAAAAAAAGATTCGCGGTGATGTGGATGTATTTCGAGATGATAGCCGAATTTCTAACTCAGGGGGTTTGTCGAGCCAGCCAAATTTATGGATTAAAGATATTCCAAATCGCTACTTTGAGGTCTGTAACCGCGGATCAGGCACGGGAGGGAATGTAATGTCACATTTGCACATGCTTCTATCGACCTCTTCTTCTACGAAGTACTCCCTCGCAGAGTAATGCGAATGAAGATACCGAGGCTTGGATAAATTGGTAAAGTGATGGCACAATTGGATACACCCAAGACCGGAGGACTAGGTAATCAATCAGGAAGGAAGGAAGACTTTCGGGATATGGTATTATGTATCGTTGGTATCGTAGTATCATAGTATGGCACGGCATGGCAATTGGTATCCTCTTAGCAAAGAATTTGAACTCTTCGACCCTCTCTACCCTTGTAGCGATCATTCGTTTTCAAGCCCCAACAAAAAAATAGAATCCATGGGTCCTCAAAATTGTTGGGGAAATCGTTTCGGGTAAATGGACGGATTGGGTTTAGTCTCGAACCCTTTTCTGCAAGCTTGAATACAAGGGGAACTCAATATGATGAGGATGTGATTGGTCAATGGTAACATCAACATAGCTTTCCATTTGTAGGCAATATTCTTTCTTTGCAAATTATTAGTAGCCATCGAGTGAAGTTGATGCTTGCTGACCACCTCGCCTTGATCTGGAGTTCATTCTCAGAAAAAGTGTGTGTGTGTGTGTGTGTGTGTGTGTGTGTGTGAAGATGCAGGTGGTACTTTTCATGCATATTAGAAACCAGCTGAAATCGATATATGAAAACTGGACCTATGAGGCAGAACTCTTCTTTTGTATCTAGGTATAGGTATATATGGGGGGCACATTGATTTATCTGGGCTTTTCTTACACAAGCTGAATGAATGCTGTGTCTACTGGTACACCGGCAAGCCTTCTGCGCTGAGCTGGTTGAGCCACTGTGCCACTTTGCCATCCATTGATTGTGTACAGTATTCTCCGGATGTACTCTAGCGGTGAGTAAGTAAGAAAGACAACCAACTCATCGTGTTCGTGTCCCCACAGAATCTATTCTGTCTGTCTCTTCTAGCAACCTCCATATCCTAGAGCACTTTGAAACGGTCTACCTGTCAAGGGTTCTCCACGACGGAACCGAGAGATGGGTGGCGTGAGCTTCGAGTCAATCGGAATGTCCGTTATCGAAGAAGGAGGGACACGATGAGGGGCGGGAACTTGGAAGGAGGAAAAAAGGTTGGGTATCATTGTAGATGATGGTGGTACGAGATATCACCAGATAGGTACTCCACGAGAGATCTTCTTGAGTAATTTGTTATTATCATCTCGTCAACTCCTTGTCTTCGGGATTTGCTTTGATATACCTGAACCGCAGACGTGTACATAACTCGGCATCTATCATTCTCCACTGAAATTCAACAACAAAAGAATGGTTTTGCAAATTGAGATGGATTGTAATAAACCCCACCATATGATAGCTACCTACTCTAAAATGTCATGATAAGATCTTCAGACCCCCTTTCCCATGTCTTAACGACTTATTGTGGTGGGTGGGTGGTGGCAATCGAATCAAGATAATTGGACTCTCGAGAGTTCATTTGAGTGGTCTTTGCTTGCATTGCTCCATACTTGGGTACATGAGTATTAATTATATCAAAAGAAAAGAGGAATTCTAGCAGAAGAAAGTATTATATACAGAATGGTCCAGTGCTCCATACATACACATAAACAGTAGGTATAACACTGTGGAGATTCTGTAAACACCATCTTCCTTGACAACGAAGCTGGAAGAAGTTTGTTGAAGAATCCAGGAAAGTCGTTTGAAATCGTTTCATGAGAGTATCTACCTGGTACTCAGATTCTACTGTATTGATTGATCGTATGTAGTCGTCTCGGAGTCGACCTGTCAGTAGTACCTAGTCTAAGTATATTTTATATTTTATATGTTATGTTATATTTTATATACACTTACATCTAATCTTGTATGAAGGATATATTATACTTTATTAGACTCCTCCTACTCCTCCTCCTCTTCCTCCTACTTATTTTCTAGTGACTTATACTTAACCATCCCAAGTTACATGCTGGTCCCTTCTTGGCTCTTTCCCGTACCTTGTATGATCTGAAATCTTTGCAGTTAATATCGTAAGAGTTAATCGGAGTTGATGAGAAGGCGCTACGGGGAAATATTCCATCCTCTTTTTTTCTCTTTCTTTTCTTTTCTTCTCTTCTCTTCTTTAAACTTTTTAGGGCCAAGCGACTGCTGAACATCCCTTCAATTCCTTACTAGGTAGGTATCTGGGTAATCCACTCCACCACTCACTCCACTCACTACCTAGTACTCTCACTCAATTCATCCCTCCATTCCTTTTCTTAAGCCACCCCCTCTCCCTCTTATAAGTCCAAATTCCTCTCTTCACTTCTACCTCTCTCCATCTCCCACCTCTTTACCAAAACTTAATACACATCTTGAGGAGTTGAGTGTGTACCAAAGTTTGTAAGTATATATATTCCTTTATTATGTCACCCAATTAAAAAGCTTTCGGAAACTAACAAGTACTCCTAGAATTTATCGTTGGGCCTTCTTTAATTCATCCCACCAAAACCTCAACAAATTTGGTCCATTCACTTCACGCTGCTACAATCTTGTCACTCACTACTGGCTCGAATATCAAAGTGATCATTTCCTACGATTTTTCATTCTTTTTCTCTAAATTTTCGAGTCTACAAGAATTACAACACAATGGCCTCTACCACTGCTCTACCAAAGCGTACCGTCGTTCAAAGAACGGCGACCTCTTCCACTGTCGAATCAGCTCCCTCGACAGCTGCCGGGTCACCCAATGATACCCCAAGACAATCCCCCTCGTCTACTTCTCTGTCATCCATGTCATCTCTAGGCGACGATGCTAAGAAAACCAAGTCATATGGCAAACTTATCGATACTTACGGCAACGAATTTGAGCTTCCAGATTATACCGTCAATGACATCCGTAACGCAATCCCAAAGCATTGCTACGAGCGATCTGGAGTAAGAGGCTTGGCTTATGTGGCACGCGATATTGCCAGTTTGGCCACCACATTCTTCCTCTTCAACAAATATCTCACACCAGAAAACGTTCCCTCAACTCCAGCCCGCGCTGTGTTGTGGGCCTTGTACACCATTGTCCAGGGTTTGTTTGGCACTGGTCTCTGGGTTCTTGCCCATGAGTGTGGTCATCAAGCTTTATCAACTTCAAAGGTCTTGAACGATACAACTGGGTGGATCTGCCACTCTGCTCTTCTCGTCCCATACTTCTCATGGAAGATCTCTCACAGCAAGCACCACAAAGCTACCGGTAACATGGAGCGTGATATGGTTTTCGTTCCAAAAACTCGTCAAGATTATGCTACCCGCGTCGGAAAGTTCGTCCATGAGCTTCACGAGCTCACCGAGGAAACTCCAATCGCAACCCTCATTCACTCAATCGGACAACAACTTGTTGGCTGGCTTTTGTACTTATTCACGAACGTCACCGGTCACAACAACCATGAGCGTCAACACGAAGGTCGTGGAAAAGGCAAAGTCAACAGCTTCTGGACCGTCAGTCACTTCAACCCAGCCAGTCCTCTTTATGAAGCCAAGGATGCCAAATTGATCTTGTTGAGTGATCTTGGTATCGCCATCACCGTCGCTGTCCTTACCATGCTTAGCAAGACATACGGATTTTACAACATGGCTATCTGGTATTTCATTCCATACCTCTGGGTAAACCATTGGCTTGTTGCTATCACCTTCCTCCAACACACTGACCCAACTCTTCCCCACTACTCTGGCGAGAGTTGGAACTATGTTCGTGGAGCTGCAGCAACAATCGATCGTGAATTCGGATTTATCGGTCGCACTCTTCTTCACGGTATCATCGAGACTCACGTTCTTCACCACTACGTTAGCACCATTCCTTTCTACCACGCCGATGAGGCTACCGAGGCTATCAAGCCTATCATGGGTCGTCACTACAGAGCTGATGTTCGAGGAGGATCCCTTGGATTCTTGAAGAGCTTGTGGTCCAGCGCTCGTTGGTGCCAATGGGTTGAGCCATCTGAGGGTGCTGAAGGTGAAGGCAAGGGGGTATTCTTCTTCCGCAACCGCAATGGACTCGGTACACCACCAATGAAGCTCAAGGCATAAATTGAGTATACGAAGTGCTCGTAAACTCGAGCTTTGGTGCAGGGGAAAAAGTAACTGGGGGCCTGTGTCGATTTATCTGTTTTTGCATTGCTTGTTGAATTTTAGGGGGGATAGGGTGTTAGGAGTCGCAAAATAACTTTCACGCTACGAAATCATTCTGCACGTTCACTCGCTGTAAGACGCATCAATCGTTGTGGTAGTCGAGAACGAAGATTCACTGCTTCTGCTTTTCGTACTTCGAGCTGCAAGTTAGATAGAGTTAGAATAGCTAGATTAAAAACCAAGAAATGAAAAATTATGAACAAGCTAATTAACATCTTCTCTTTGTTTGCTCTTGCCTAGTGAACATGATGATACTAAAGGATCGAGTAGAAGATGAATGCACAATTCCATTTTCAGACCTCATGAAGATAAATATATTTTCAAAGCTAATATTAATATGTACGGTGTTTAGAATCTTCATCTCGACTCTTAACAGTATATCCAGAATATTGATCACCAGATAGATAGATAGATGTCTTGCCATTCATTTTCTACGCCCATTGATGAGTGTGGATAGGGCGATGCATAGATACACATCTTTAGCTACCTAGGTACCTACGATAGGTACCGTGATAGATACCGTGAAGATGATGGATGGGATGCCATTTGATTCATAAATTGAAGGGTCAGTTACTAATAATTCATGTTAAATTCGACATTTGTTATATGGAAAGCTTTATTACGATAGGCTGGGAAGAGCTGACGCTGACAATTCCAAGGTTAGGTAGGTACTTGGGTAATTGTGGATGTGTGTAGTAAGTAGACGCTTATAGGATGACACACACACTCTCACACACACACACACACACACACACACTCTCTCTCTCTCTCTCTCTCTCTCTCGCGTGATCTATAAAGAAAGAAGTAGTGGAAGACGATTTACAATTGTCAGGTGACACTTGATAGATAATGTAATGCATCTTGGTAGTTATTTTTTTTTTCTGGATATTATGTATTCATTTAAGTCATCCACTGGCAGCTATCTTGGAAAGTCCCCCTCGGTATCTGGATAGCATAGCATAGCTTCTAACAGTATCTCCCTGTTCCATTTCTCCCTCCCTTTCGCTGTCGCTGGGTATTTACAAGTACAAAAGCTCTCATTCACATACATATATCCCCAAATTACCTCTCATATCTTGGTGGTAAACTTTCGTGGTCCACTCTTGTTCCCTCAAAATGCTGATGTGCATACCCGCTTCCATATTCGTCTTCTTCGTGAAAGATCGGCGCCGAAGGTTCATGGTCATGTGGTGCCGAAGCAGCAGCGCCCTGCCGGCTACTCTCGCCCTCCTCTTCCAACTCTGGAAACTCTGATGGTGCGCTTGCTTCGGCTAGGAGTCTTTGACGTTCGAGTTCTTGTTTATCGTCTGTGGCGTGCGAGGTGTGTGAGGCATGCGTTGTGAGATCCGAGAGACTGGGGGCTGAGGGGCCAGCAGGTGGAGATTCGCTTAAGTGCGGATTCGACGGGTCAACTGGATGAGATGTAAGGGGTCTGGGGTTGCTGGGTGGTAGACCATCGGCGGTGTAAAGATCTTCATCGGCTGGATTAGGTACAGATGGTCCGGTACTACCCCTTGCTGCGGCCGATGATGACGATGATGATGATGCTTGGAAATCCGGAGGCTGACTGGGAAGAAGTCTCTGTTCTGCTCTCCTAAGTTGTTCCTTTTCACTGAGTTCTGTTTGTCCTTCAGTTTCTGGTGGTGGAACGTATATTTGTGTACGTGATGGCGGCGGGTATCTAGAATGTTGATCGGCACGCTGTTCAAAATTTTGATTATATTCATAAGGGTATGGTTCGTCGTAATTCGAGTCGTAATATTGATAAGGATGATTGGGGTATTGCGCATTTTCCTGGTGTATATACTCGTGGTCGAAAGGCTCTTCATGCATGGGATTTTGAGCTGGAGAGGGTGTGACTGGCCTCGAGTTTGAGGATCCAGCTGGTTGTTTACCGGCATGCCTTGCTTTGTTTCGAGCACTATCCGTAGTCCCAACAACAACTTCGAAAACACAGGCAACCACGCTCTTTTCTCGCCTAATGTGATCCGTATCAACAATGCTACCTCCAAAGGCAGCCAGCATGCTGGCATTCCCTTCTGATCTATTACCTGTGCTTCCATAGGCGGCAGGTAGGCTAACGGCTCCAATGCGCGGTACGTGTCGTTGTTGGCCGGCTAATTTCCCTCCCAGGTCAACTACAACCTCAACTTGGTATTTGAAGTTTACCATCTGGCCAGGCACACCACTTATAGTTGGGAAGCAGTCCTCGGGAACTCTGATAGATGCTGTGACATGCGACGTCAAAGTTGAAGGGTCAACAATGAGTGGCGCAAATGTCTGCGATAAATCTTTTCGAAAGACACTAGTCGATCCAGCGGAACTTAGTGACAGACCACCCAAGCCAGTCTTAGATTTAGGATAATATTCTTCATGCTTAAGCCTTTCCGCTTCTTTCCCTTTGATATCCTTGAACAGTGACAGTGGAGGCGAAGAATCTATTCGGCCTTGTCTATAGAACGTAATTATAATTCCATGCATACTTTTGATGGCTTTGGTATGCTGTACAGTAATTTTCACGGGCAGATAATCTCCTGGTAAGCATCCGGACTTGAGTAGTTCGATTGTAGCTGTAATGGTTTTATCGTCTACGGAATTGCTGCTGTTGCCTTGGCTATCTCGAGTAGACCGCGCCGATGATGGGACGGGTCCCAACCGAAAGCTGAGGCCAGTACTACTACTGATCGTACTGTCTGTACTGAAAGTGCTTTGGACATCGCTTTGCGCCGGGCTTCGGGGTTGTATTTGGTTATCAAGTATATCCACTTGGCTCACAGAGTCATCCGGCCGCGGTGATGTAGCTTCGGTTGTATCACTAATGGATCTTGTGTCCGCATGTTCGCGGGATGGGGGCTGATCTTTTGGCTTAATGGACTTCTTCCTCTTTGCTCGTCTCGAGATGGGTTCCAGTGATATTGTTCGAGGTCGGGGTGGTCCCAAGGGACCAACATCTACTCTCTCAACCAGCTCAACCTTCCTTTCGCACATCGAGGTCGCAGCTATTGTAGTTGGCCGGGTAATCGTCGAAGAGATCTGATATGATATCGTTCCTCTTTCAAACTAATCACATTCATTAGTCCAAGTCGCATTGGGGTCTGCTCAATAGTTGCCTACATCGACGCTTGTAGGAATACCCTTGGTAGGAAATTCCAGTTCGAAATTAAATCTATATACTCCAGCATCAAGTCTACCTTCACCACATAATGCAACTTCATCTTGGAAGAGTGAGCAATAACCATTGCCAAAGTATTGCGACTTCATGGGGTTGTCCGAGGCATACGTCACTGTATCTGGCAGAGGTTCGTTCGCGCCATTGGCATTCTTGTAGACGTGTATGAAACCATGTAGGCAGACAGTGAGGTGGGTAATCCGTACGGGTTTGACAACAGTCAATACCACGGCACCCCTTACCAGATCACCCGGTGCATATCGCCGATGAGGTTCAAGTGGTTCGATATGGAAGTCGGCCAGGTTGCGCGTTCGGGACTTCAATGGGGCAGTCAATCTAGAAAACAGAGAGCGACCTGTCGATGCGGTCGGCGACGACTGGGTCGTTGAAGTGACATTCGCGCACATGCTAATACAATATATGATATGTTCGCGGTGCCAAGTCTAAAATCGTGTCTGCCAAGTACTGGGAAGGAATTGACGGAAAGTCGCACGCAGAATATTGGCAGAACTGCAAATTCCGGGCGACTGCGGGGGAAACAACGACAGTTGCCAATGCTAAGTCGTTATAATAAGAAGTGAATCAAGATGCATGGCAAATCCTTGAGTGTGGAAATTGAGTAATAAATAATAGGTAATAGCAATGGTGTAATAATAAATGGTAAAATAATAAATATAAAAATAAATATGAATATAATAGTGAATCGAAATACGAATGGGGATTTGTTGATGAAGGGATAGTTGGGTCAATCAATCAATAATGATGGGTTGACTGGTAATAAAAGACGGAAAATCGGGAAGACTAATGGTTTTAGGTCTCTGATATTCTTGAACCTAAGACTTAATGCCTTTTTTTCTTCTGTTGGAAGGATTTGGGATGAGAATATGGGGTTTTTTGTGAAATTGTGATTTGCAACCAGGATTTGCAATCTTCTTCAATGAATAGAGGAATGAATGAATGAGTGGGTGAGTGGGTGAGTGAGTGAGCGAGTGAGTGAGTGAATGAACGTTTTGTCGGTCAAAACTCAAAAGATTTCAAATGCACCTAGTAACTTTTTCCGTGCAAAGTACCTAGGTAGTTACTCGCAGTAGTTCCTCAGATTAGAACTTGTCAATGTTTTACCAAGGTCCATAAATTGTCCGAGTCCGAGAGAGCAGGTAGGGTACTAGGTAGAGGAGGGAGCGAGATAGGTAGGTAGGCGGGCAGACAGGCAAAGTATGAGGGTAATGAGGGTAATCAGAACAACAAGTGCAACGAGAGTTTGATGACTATTGTGCGTGTATGGGAATGGTACCTAGGTAGTTGCTAGGTGCTAGGTGCTAGGTGCTAGGTATTAATTTGATATGAAGGGTGGGGGGACTGGTGGACTTGAAAGGGAGAGCAAGCGGGATGCAACTCTTTTTTCTTCATGAGAAGGCGAAAGAACCTTGGAGTACCAGGAATAATATCTGGGTGTAGAAGGTTTCGAAAATCGAACTTCTTTTTGGTTTGAACAAAAGTATGTTTTAATTAAGATTCGTGATAAAATTGGGTACAAATCGTGGAAGCCGTGTAGCCCAGACAAATTTGAAGGGGTTCAAGAGGGACCCGGAGAAGGTCCTTACGCGTTGCAGAAAGCTTGAATTTGCTCAGGGGTCCTAGGTCCCACAGTTCACAATGATCCAGTCCACGATACAGTTTGGGCGTGCGAGTGGTGTGTGGTATGTGGTATGTGGTGTATGGTGGGTATTGGCGTGTCTGTATTCGCTGAAACCTGGCAATCTGATACTCTTCTTTCACTTATAAGGCTGAGGGATAAAAGGAGTTGAGTGGCTATTTGAGGAAGAGGTGGTGTTATGTTATAGAACGTAAGAAAATGCTTAGTAGGCAAGAAGCGTAGAAAACGGTAAGATGTGTATGTCCCTGGTGAGATGAAGACGAAGAGCAGAATACTCGAGGGAAAAACGAAAAAAAAAACGAAAAAAAAACGGACGGAAATGAAGGGCATTACATTATCTACCTACCGATGCATACCTGTTCGGCTCTAGGGATATCGGTTTTGGATGATTTCTCTCGGGAAGCCGAAGGAGTTTGTATATCGGTCCAATGCAAATTTCGTGTGTATACAATTGTCAGCCAACCATTCCGTATGTCAAAACATACTAATGAAGGGTGTACAGCATTTAGCATTGTAGCTTTGTAGCTTTCGGTAACTTTTCGGTACAAGCGAGTAACGCTCGAGGAACAGTTAGTGAAAGGGATGAGTCCAGTAGGTAGGGCTGGATTGTTCTAGGCGTCGAGGAAGTGATCAACGTATACGAGCAAACCATATATTGTCCACGTCGCTTGCCATCAGCCAGCCTGCTTGTTCATCATACCAGTACTCTTGCATCCCTTATAGTCTCGTGAGGGGCCTATATACCGACGGTTCATTCGGACTGTAACCTGCTTCCACGATGGCATCTTACTTGACACTTTGCGAATCACAAAAGTGTATTATCTTTCTTCATCTCTTTCCGGATCCGATTTTTCCTGGCCTAGCTATAGGCATCCTTCAATTCACACGGGAATTCATCTTTTAGCTTGAGATCCTGCGATGGTTTACTATTCATCATGCATAGCACTATCACGGATTCGTATTCTCGAGTATATGCACTCGGCCATATGAAGCAATTTGTATCGAAGGTTGAACCGTTGGAAAAGGTGATAGGGCATCCGAGAAGCGAAAGAGGATAATTTGATGCAACATGGTGACATTTCATCGGTCTACTGGGCTAATTGGTGGATTTCTCGGTACGGGGTACAATTTGGTTAAATCCCCGAGTCCCGTTTGTGACATTGAAGATTGTTGCCCAGCTGGTCCCTCGAAAATCGCGATTAACCTAAGATTAGGAAAAAAGCTTGTCTAGTCCTTCCCAGGTATTTTCCCGCTTTGGGCTGCACTTGTATCTGATATGGCAAAATTTTCAAGTGGCCAAGTGGAGATGTTGGGGTTTGCGTACATGTCACATCTGTAACATGAATAATGTTTCATCAACGTATCATCAAGTTTTCGAGTTGGAAATAACAAACGAACAAACAAACAGCTCTCAAGCAATCGAATGATTAAGGTTAATGTTCGGATAGATCAACGGTTTACATCCATGCATGCCAAACCACTTGATATCTGATCACACTGTCCTCCAGATCGTATTTCGTAAAAAGCTGACGACAACAAAACATGAAGCTATACCGGCCAGACCGAGTAACGATAATCGCAAGCCAGTAATACCACTTCCATCATATTACATTCCGATAACTCGAGATTGTCCATGCAAGTAGAGCTAAGAAGGATCCACTAATTTGGGACCGCTAATTCTTTCAGCCCTTCTCCGACTACATAGTCCTCGCCACATGCTCGATACATGATCTCTCCAGCTTGAGCTCGGTCTCCCGTCAAGCTGACCAAGAATGATTCGAGTGATTCAAGGTTGTCGGTCCATCTTACAGTGCTCTCCTTAAGTTTGTTTGTTTCCTCCATTTTTCGAAAGATCTCAGCAGGATCGTTATCACTGTAGAGATCCAATTCCTTATCAAGAGCGTCGTTCTCCTTCACAAGAGCCTCATAAGCGTCCATCAAAGCGTGTCGGTCTGATCCACCATCAAGGAGCATTTCATCGTCCTCTTGACGTTTTGTCATTTCCTTTTTAACCTCTTGTTCAGCAACCGCAATTGAAGCCAGCAATTTAGTTTCCTCATCCTTCAATTTGTTGATCAGATTTTCTTTGCTTTTCTTGGCATCTGAGGTAAATGACCAATACCAATTGCCACTTCCAATTTTCTCGACGCGGATCAAATTCTCGTCTGTGAGCGCTTGGATGTATTCTTTCACTAGCATGCCATTGATCGAGCCGACAGATGGGAGTAGTTTCTCAAGTTCTTTGAAGGAATAGACTCCCATGGAGGTTCGAAACCACTCCAGAATCTTTGCTTGCTTGGCTGCGGGCGGTAGGTTCTTGGGAGCCTTTATAAATGTTAATCATTTTGTTTCATCTATTTTGGTTGACATCTTTGACAGTCAGGGTTGTGTGGGGGAACTTACCATTATCAAGGAGAGAGACGATCGTTGTGACAATCAAACTCTTGTCAAGAGCTGTCGGAAAAATGTGTTTCGTAGATGAATCGCAATCCAGATAAAGGTCGGTGATGATTATGATGGTCTATTGTACGTGCAAGGTTGGTGATTTCTTGGGGTTGAGGTTCGCAGTCGAGTTCAATGATCAGTAATTAATCAATGTTGGTGAGGAGGGATACTACTAGGTAGGTTGGCGGGTACATGAAAAATTGAGAAAGGGTTCAAACTTCACCTTTGCAGCACAAATTCTGTCGATACAATCATGTGTTATATTACCACAACCTCTGGATTTCTACCTACTTGGGTATTCAATATACTGGGAAACTTATTTTTAATGTGAGACGTCGTCAGAGTTTTCTACCACAACCAAATCTAATCATCCACCTGATAAGTGCAAGATCACCTGCCCTGAAAGACTTATCAATTTGCTGTGTTTTGGACAATTCTGGTGGGGAAAGACGAACACCTTCTCCTGACACTTTCACTGTCGTCGCAATAGATCCAGTCAGTGATTGCACTACCTCGTATCTCTTATACAATAATCGATAACCAGGACACTCTACCTGAAAACATAGTAGGTATGCAAGGTCAAGAGGTATTCAATATATCCACTTGATACCTTCGCAGTCATTCTTTCATCTCGTCTTCTCAACGTGTTCCGTGGTTCCACCTTCTTTCTCTATTACCGCCTCTTTCACTGGATTCATCTTGCTGACTTTAGCATCGTTTCCCTCAATGACTAAAGCCACATCTTCCAAACTTGTTCCTTTCGTTTCAGGACAAGCAAAGTACACCACGACGAACTCGACGGCAATCCATGCTACATAGAAGAAATAGAACTTCCAGCCAAATCTTGCAAGACCTAATGGGTTCACATAGGTATTGAATGCACCCGCTAAGCCCGTGACTAACCAAAATAGTGAAATGCCTTTGGCACGCAACGTGTACGGCAAAATTTCAACCACATAAAGCATCATGGCACCTGTCCATCCCAAATTGTGTACTCCGCTGTACAAATATATAAAAGCAACCGAGGCATAAGAAGCGGATTTAGACCCAGTGTGGGTGAACACACCGGTAAGGATGGTGATTATTGTGAAGACAAGCCACATCAGGCCCATTGACCAGAGCAGAAGAGGTCGACGACCTACTCGAGCGGGCAGAAACGCAAAAGCAACAGAACAAGCAAAGGAAAACATTTGGGAGGTTGCAGTGATGAGGGTTTGTTGTAAGGTAGTCGCAATTCCAACGTCGTCGAGCATCTGGAGGTTGTCAGTGGTGTCAAAAAAGTTAAACCGGAGATGTGCTTACTGTATGTAAGTAATAGGACACTACGCCATTTCCTGACCATTGCTTACAGATTCCAAAGAACTATAGATTATTATCAGCATTTGGTACATTTCGCACATTTGAATCGTTGCTGTGCCGCTTCGAATGAATACAGAATAAAGGATCTGAGGCTCACAATCATAATAAACATTCTCCATTGGTTTCCTTTACCTCTCCACATTTCACTCCACCTCGATTGCTTTGCTGAGATCTCCAACTCGATTGTTCCGACTATCTCCCTGTATTCGAACTGTACGATCTCATCTTCTCGATCTCCATTGGCATGATACTTAGACAGTACATCCAAAGCAGCATCTTCACGACCTTTGCTTACAAGCCAACGAGGTGACTCGGGAAGAAAGAAGATACCAAGTGCCTGGCCGACAGAGGGCAAAGCTTGAAAGATTGAGGGAATGCGCCATGACCATGTGGAGTTCAATCGAAATGTACCTATCTCTTGTTAGTATCTCGCTGTCAACATGTGTAGGCTATAGCAAAACAGCCTACCAAAAGTTATCCAGGCAGCGATGATCGAGCCCATTGAGTATTGGGTATTTGAAAGCGCAGTCGCGGTCGCACGATGATCTATTTTCCATTAGTTCCTCGCAGTTTGACATCGAACCATGCTCGGCTCCTGTCTCAGGAGAGCTTACCCGGATATGCAAGTTCCGCTACTAGTACAGGTCCAATGGCTCCAACAACCACTCCTCCAACCCCTAATAGAAGTCTGCCGACAATGAACATGCCAGCTAAGTTTTCGTCAGCCTTTGTTTCACAATACCCGGCCATATATCTCTCTCTGTCTTATCACATCTCCATTTTCCACATATTCCACCCCTTCCTGGCCACGCGAATATAAGATGAAACAAACATACCATTAATGGCTCCGGTGCAAAGAGCTGTCCCAAGTATTGCAACTACACTACCAAAGAACAGCGCCATTCTCCTGCCAAATCTATCACTCAGCGGCGTGATAAAGAATACTCCCAGGACATTTCCCACCCAATAACTCGCCGACAAAATACCTAAGAGTGAGCCCTTTGGGTTATGAAATTCTGTTAAATTCCTTCATCAGCCATGCCTCGTATTTCAGCACAATCTACTATAGCCCTCTCATGGATAATAAAATCACCATCTGGATACATCTCTTTTTTTCAAGCCCACTACTCCCTCTCATCACCACCAACTTCCAAATAAGAAGAAAGCAAAGAGTTACACCAAGCGAACACAAAAGAAAAGATGCTAATTACCATTCTGCCAACTCTTCAACTGCTGCACATTGTTAATAAGACTCGCATCATAACCCTGCACATATTCACTCATCAACGGTATCATGATAAGAAGGTTGAGTTTAAGCAATCCTCGATCATGCCACCAAGGACCACGTTTATTTGTTAAATGAGAGGCGGACGCGAGAACATCTCTGTCGACGCGAGGGGCTTTTGTCGGAAACATCATTTTGAGCACGATAAAGAGATGCTCAGGAAGACGAGAATGTGAGATCGTTTGAATAAGCACATAGGATGTACATGAGTATTATAATATATCTCATTTCACCACGATGCAGCTGTCCCACCACGTCTCTGCATACAGGCCATGTCAAAGCTGCAATGCTACCTCGCTACCCCATCATATCCTATCCTATCCCGTCGTGCCCTACCACTTGATAACTCTTTTTGCATATCATATCGTATCGTATCAAGGCAATGATGCGCAAGGGAACTGCAAAGCATCCCCACGATATCAAAATTCACATCCAATAGGGGATACTGCACAATTCGCTTATCGGGGATATTTATCCGGGGATTGCGGGGTAGAGCATTTTCAAGCTTCGGCAGGTGATGAACCGACTGGGGCTTTAAATGCGAAGGACAGGGGATTGGTGGGATATCTCGGGGGAGATACCTATTCACGCATGGGGGTTTTGGGGTTGAAGCCGAGGATCGATTTCTCGACAGGTATCGGTATTGCGTGTGTGCATGCGCTGGTATTGTGATGGAGGTGGGGATATGTATGTGTGGGATCAGTTGTGAGCTTTATATCAGAATCAAAGGTCGTTGCAGTGGGGATTTTGTTTTCAAAGTTGTTTGAAGTAGATTGCTTGACTTTAATCAGATATCTATCTCACAATGGGACTCCCAAACCCTAGTATTTCAATACTCGGTCCGGATCCCCAAAGAACACATAGAATCAACGCAAATTCCTTCCAGCAAAACGCAATTACCACGGTTAATGGATGGCAATATGTAGCATTTTATACCGATCATCCTACGTCCACGAAACTGAATGCTTGTATGATGAATCTGGGTAGAAGAAAAGTCTCACCTACGCATTCGAAGTGGGATATTTTGAGTTTCCACGATTATGAACAGGTGGTTGATGATGGACATAATACAATATCTATTGGTATATGTAGTGGAGATGGAAGTATACATATAGCGTTTGATCATCACTGTGATAGGTGTGTTATTATTATTGGAAAAAAGTTGAGCAGTGCTGAGAAATGTTAGATTGAGATTTAAAATTTTGAAACGTACAGATTCAGAAAAACATCCAGAGGATTCCAATGTATGGAATGCATCTCTGTTTTCGCAAACGCAAGATTATCTTCCTGGCATTGCACATAATGAACTGATGGACGAAGTCACTTATCCTCGGTTCGTGAACGTGGATGATGATTTGTTGTTGACATATCGTATTGGCCAGTATGTATGTTCTGATACAACTGCATCTGCACATGAATTTAATATGAATGTAGGGCAGGATTAGGATCAGATATCCTTTACCGCTACTCGGGAAAGTCTTCCATTTATACATATTTAGGCCAGCATCTTACTGGTGTTTCTAATAGTCCATATATAAATGGTCTTGATTATCAAAATTCGCGGCTCTATCTGTCATGGTGTTATCGAAACTTCATCCTTTTCGAATCTTCCACAGGCACAGATGCACATAAACAACAAGCCGGGCCCAACGGGCCCGAGAATAACTATGATCTGAATTTTGCTTATTCGGAAGATGTGGGCAAGACATGGAAAAGTTCGGATGGAACAATCTTGGCCGTACTGGATGGAAAGGAAGAAAACACCATCTTGCCGCAGTCCAAGGCGAGAGTCTTTGAGATTCCCATGGGAAGTGGGATCTTGAACCAAGAAGCTCAAGCGGCGGATCGGAAGGGCGGATTCTGGGGTTTGAACAGGGAGAATTCTGCGGGCGAGCAACAGTGGATACTTTATTACCGTGATTGTACAGGTAAAGCCGCAACACTGATCAAATTATGTTGAGGACTTTGTACTAACGAATATTAGGGGGATGGACAAAGAACGCTGTCCCAACGGATGGCATAAACAAGCCTACCGAAATTGGCTCGAGAGGAAGCATATCTGTTGACAGCAAAAGTAACGTATATCTCGCTTTGCCTGGAAATACAGATTCCACCCTCAGCATCGTGAAAGTGCATAGTAAGGATGGACAAGTATTCTTTGATCTCGTATGGAGTGCATCAGGATTTGATGGCGAGCCTTCAGTCGAGATACAAGAGGTGGAAGGAGGTGAGAATCTGTCTATCTTTACAAGAACGGACAAAAAAGAGGATGGACTTCGAGATGTAGTTGTCTTGGATTTTGACCTCGATTCCAAACCGATCTAGATAGACTTCTAAAAGCAGTTCCATGATCGGAACGAATGTATCCCCTTCACCCAGACATATGTCATGTCCCGCCTTCACTTTCTTGCATTGTATATATTGTGTAGATAATCACAGGTAAGATTGAATTGACCTCCGTTACAAGAATCGAAATATCTTCCCTTCATAATTCTTTATGGGTACGCTTCAAATTAACTTTCGCATCTACTCTGCGCCAAAATATTTCCAAGTAAGAGCTGCTTGAGTACCTACCTAGTAGATAGCTATAGAGGATCTCAGGTGGCCCAGAAAGATATGTATGAAAGATATGTATGAAAGATATGTATGAAAGATATGTATGAAAGATATGTATGAAAGATATGTATGAAAGATATGTATGAAAGATATGTATGACTACGATGGAATGTGATCAAGAGATTCCAGCACGGGAAGCTGACCAAAAGTGGAAGGTGGTGGAGGATATATTCACGCCTCAGGCATAGAGAGCATTGCCCCACTTCACATGCACGAGGGTTAAGGTCAGAGGGTCGCATTGAGAAAAACCGTAGAATCATAAGGACAAACAAAAGACGACGGACACAGCAAAACTCAACCCTGATGGATCAATGACTTGCACATCGACATATTACGAGATCTTAGACATCCCGTCGTCTCTTCGAAATGCAACACATATTCCGGTAGCAACTTTGCGAAGCGCATATCGACGCGCACTTCTTCGAAATCATCCTGACAAATCTCAAAGCCAAGAACAAGGTCATATAAACAGACCCCAAACGCTTTATACTATTGATCAAATATCCGTGGCTTTCTCTCACCTATCGGACTCCAAACTACGAGCACAATATGACAAGGAATTGAGATTGCAGAATCGCTCTATAAATGGGGCAGGACAAAAGGAAGGAGAAGTTTTCCGAACGGGTGTTGAAGTTGTCGATTTGGATGATTTGAATGTCGAAGAAGAGAATGGTATATGGTATAGAAGCTGTAGATGTGGAGATGATCGAGGGTTCTTAATTCGAGAGCAAGATTTAGAGGAGGCAGCTGAAGATGGTGAGATCAGTGTGGGATGCAAGGGATGTAGTCTCTGGCTCAAGGTTCTTTTTGGTGTAATGGAGGATCTGCCAGACGATAAGGGATCGGATACATAGATGCAGGACAATAAAGGACAATGTAATCAATGGTACCTGGGTTGCTGTCAAAGGCTGGAGCACAACATGAATGCCCGACAATGGAGAGCTTCGAGTAAAGAGTCACCGAGTTCACCGGTCAAAAAGGAAAGCGCTGAAGGTTTGAATAAAATATTGATTAAAATAGCATTGAGAAGCTTTCAAAGCCATGGCAGATGAGGATACCTTGCTTCCCCTTACTTATAACTGCTACGAGCTGCTACGAGCATGCATGGGTATCAACATCGATATCTATATAGATATTGACTTGGCTTGCGTCAAAAAGTATGTACCGTCTTCCTATGACTTCCAATCAACGCTCGAAAGCTATTGGTCGCCTCAAACCTGCGGTGGTTGTAAATCTTCTTCTTGCAACAACCAAATTAAACTGTAACAGTAAATATTGGAGCACGTCAACATATCGTGGGAGAAAGATCGATATAATGTTGTTCGAGCCGTTTAAGTTGCTTGAAGAAGGAAGAAAAAGAAGAGCGCGAGAAGAAAAGTTTTGTGTAACGGTTAAATGGAGAACATCACCCAATGCGGCTTAGTGCAATCTGAACCTTCCTCACCGCCACCCAAAACAGCAACTGGATAAATAAATCAATGATGAGTACGATATGATGATTTTTGAAGATATATCCTTGTACGAATAGAAGAGTACGAGATGATTTGGTGCCACTCGAGCCACTCTTTCTTCTAAAGTTCGAAATCTCACATCTCACTCGCATTAGTGAAGGTTGACAAGCAGGTGCTTTAACCTTAGCCTTCTTCCCACCTTTGCTCTTGATTCATCCTTCTCGTCCTAAACGGCATCACCTGGCCATTCCTGTGCACTTTCTGCCACTGGACTTACTGCCATCTATCCACTGGCATTCATCAAAGCTTTTGCTTGCAGACCCAGAGAGACCCCACCTTCCTCAATCGTTGGTAGTTCGATCATTCCTTCCCAGTCATTTCGATTGTTCATTCTTTGCCCAGGTTGCAAAGGTGGTGCGTGTCATATTTGTACATACGGCAAAGCATAGCATAGCATAGCATACGGCGTTGTGTGTGTGTGTGTCGGTATTTTGTAGCTTCCCTCACTTCTTGCTTCGATGTCAATGCGTATCTCCAATACCCTTACATCCTCTTTTACTCGGCCTCCAGCCAGTGTTTTCCTTTCCTTAAGTAGAGCACAAAGAAGATTGCCAATTGTTAGCAGAACCTTTCAAAGCCTTTCAATTAGTTCCTATCGAAGCTCAGCTTCATTGTATGTTATACCCCGCCATTTCTTTCATTCTGTGGAGCTCTTTCCATTCATTGTACAAGCTTGAATTTCTACCCTCGTGATACCTCAAGCAAGTCAACTGAGGCAAGATCAACACACTTAAACCCAAATTTGCTTTTGATTTATTCACTTGTATCTTAGTGCGCAGTGTTCATAAGCTCACCGATTATTCAAATTTAGTCTCAGTCCTTCGAAAAACCGTCCTCAGTTATCAAACAACTTTCGAAATACAACATTAACCACCTCGGCAATCCGCCATTGTTCATATAGAAGACACAAGATGTGTAGAGGTGTACATGCCGGAGGGGAGTTAGAGAGCGCAGGAATCGACATTACCAAGGGAAGAGAGATCTTGCCAGCAAATGTCATTCCAAGACACTACGATCTCACATTAGAGCCGGACTTCAAGAAGCATACCTACGAGGGTACTGTTATAATCGATTTAGATGTTGCTGAAGATACTACTTCTATTTCTCTAAACACTTTGGAGCTTGAGATACACAGCACAAAAGTCACCTCTGGATCTGAAGCTATAAGGTTAGTGATTGATTGAAAAGCCTATTGTGATATGCTTCCTCAACAAATCTAACATTCAATAGCTCTACTCCAGATGTCTCTTACAATGAAGACAGCCAGACCACAAAGGTTGCTTTCAAGCAAACCATCCCCAAGGGAACAAAGGCACAAATCGAAATGAAGTTCACTGGCCAGCTCAATGACAAGATGGCAGGATTTTACAGATCAACATACAAGAATGCGGATGGATCCGAGGGTATTTTGGCCACAACACAAATGGAACCGACTGATGCCCGAAGAGCTTTCCCTTGTTTCGATGAACCTGCATTGAAGGCAGAATTCACAATTACTTTGGTTGCGGACAAGCACCTCACCTGCTTGAGCAATATGGATGTTGCTTCAGAGACCGAGGTCGAGGGAAACAAGAAGGCTGTCAAGTTCAACAAATCTCCACAAATGTCGACGTATCTTCTCGCCTTCATCGTTGGAGAACTCAACTATATTGAGACCGACAAGTTCAGAATTCCGGTCAGAGTTTATGCTCCTCCAAATCAAGACATCGAGCATGGAAGATTTTCATTGGATCTTGCAGCACGAACCCTGGAGTTTTATGAGAAGACTTTTGATAGTCCATTCCCTCTACCAAAAATGGTAAGTTCTTATATTAGCTTTCCTACTCCAAATGTTCTAACTTTGTTCGTAGGATATGGTTGCCATACCAGATTTCTCCGCTGGTGCCATGGAGAATTGGGGATTGATTACTTACCGTGTCGTTGATCTCCTGTTCGACGAAAAGACCAGTGGTGCGTCTACAAAGGAACGAGTTGCGGAAGTCGTCCAGCATGAGTTGGCTCACCAATGGTTCGGTAACTTGGTTACAATGGATTTCTGGGATGGTTTGTGGCTCAACGAGGGTTTCGCAACATGGATGTCATGGTATTCCTGCAATATCTTCTATCCAGAATGGAAGGTATGGCAAAACTACGTGACGGATAACCTGCAAAGCGCCCTCGGTCTTGATTCTATTCGAAGCAGTCATCCAATTGAAGTACCAGTCAAGCGAGCCGATCAAGTCAACCAGATCTTTGACGCCATTTCATATTCCAAAGGTTCTTGTGTCCTTCGCATGATTGCAAGTTATTTGGGAGAAGATGTGTTTATGGAGGGTATCCGCCAGTATTTGAAGAAGCATGCTTATGGCAACACCCAAACCGGTGATCTTTGGGATGCATTGAGCAAGGCGAGCGGTAAGGATGTCTCGGCAGTTATGGACATCTGGACAAAACAGGTCGGGTATCCTGTTGTAAGTGTTACTGAAAACGAAGATGGAAAGAGCATCCACGTCAAGCAAAATCGCTTCTTGCGAACAGCAGACGTCAAGCCTGAGGAGGATGAAGTTTTGTACCCGGTTTTCTTGGGTCTCCGCACTAAGAGCGGTGTTGATGAGGAACTGGTTTTAGACAAGCGAGAAGAGACTATTCAGGTCCCTGCAGATTTCTTCAAGCTGAATGCAGACCATACTAGCATTTATCGAACATCATACACTCCGGAACGACTTGAAAAGCTAGGTCAAGCTGCCAAGGAAGGTCTTCTTACCGTTGAAGATCGTGCAGGAATGATCGCAGACGCAGGAGCTCTCGCGTCAGCTGGATACCAGAAGACTTCCGGTGTTCTAAACTTGTTCAAGGGCTTCACTAGCGAAACTGAGTTCGTTGTTTGGACCGAAATCCTCGCCCGTTTAGGCAGTATCCAAACTGCTTGGGTCTTTGAGGACGAGAAAGTCAAAGATGGACTCGAGTCATTCCAAAGAGAGCTTACAAGCGGATATGCCCACAAATTTGGATGGGAGTTCAAGGACAGCGACGAGCATGTCCAGCAACAATTTAAAACTCTTCTTTTCGGTAGTGCTGGTATATCCGGTGACAAGGTCATCATTAAAGCTGCACAAGATATGTTTGCTAAGTTTGCAGCGGGTGACAAATCTGCTATTCATCCAAACATCCGCGGTAGCGTTTATGCTATCGCCTTGAAATATGGTGGCAAGAAAGAGGTATGTTCAATCGTTTCAGAAAATGTATGGTAGCTAATATTTTACAGTACGACATCATCCTAGATGCTTACCGCAACTCGACAAACAGCGATGAGCGTAACACTGCTCTCCGTTCTTTGGGACGAGCCAAGGACCCTGAATTAATCAAGCAAACTCTCGCTTTACCATTCGGCGGTGAAGTCAAGGAACAAGATATTTACCTCCCCATTAGCGGACTTAGGGGTCATCCAGAAGGTATCGAAGCATTATATGTTTGGATGACCGAAAACTGGGAAGAACTCCAGCGACGATTACCGGCCGGTTTGTCCATGTTGGGAACGATGGTTACCATTTGCACATCGGGCTTCACCGGTGAACGTAACCAGAAGCGAATTGAGGAGTTCTTTTCAAAGAGAGATACCAAGGGCTTTGACCAGGGTCTGGCACAAAGTCTGGATAGTATTAGAGCAAAGAGCGCTTGGGTTGAGAGAGATAGAGAAGATGTCAAGGCCTGGGTGGAGGCAAATACTCAAGTAAAGAGTGAGCTTTAAGTAGCTCTAAACTACGTCCTGAAAAGTTTGATGTATCAATATCAATATCAAGGTTTTCAATAGACTGGACTGGCAGAAAGCAATGCAATATCCAAAGTGAAGACAGTGTTCAAACCATCTGAATTGTTCAGTGAAATACAGACATTCAAAGCTTCTGAATATCGGAATGCAGCTTCAACTTTTGGGCTGGTAGATGAGTAAGACGTAGAGGCATTAAGATTGTAAACACTTCTTCGTCGAAAGCCCTATGCAATTTTCAACTTCCAAATAAAGGATTCTGTGTTAAATACGGAATGTGTTTTAGCGCAGTGCAATAATATCCCGCTCACGACGATCCCTGTCAGATTTGGACCAAATAATATATCACTTCTTACTTTGCAGCTGTATACTTTCTCTCTTTCGAATATAGGCTTGCATGAGCAATTAAACTTCTTTTCTGTTTGATGTATGACGCGATTCTCCCGAGGAGTCAAAAGATGAAGGTGTACCTAACCTGTCATCCCGAATTATGCACTTGGCGAGTTGAAGAAGTCAACGTGTCATCTGATATTCCAGCCCATGATCCCAATATAATTGGTTTTGAGTATTTTGGGTTGAACAATGATGAATTGCGTTGATTTGTGCATGGTAGGGCAAACTTGCCGCTGCTCCAGCCATATGGCGTGTTGTGCTTGATTTTGATACTGATCCAGGTGATACACTTGATAGCTTGATGGAGAGTTGTGTAAAGTGACTGTCATGGTTCGGCTGGTTGGTTGCTGGTTGTTGAATATTGTGATTGGTATTTGCACGGATGATGATATGATATGGAATGTGATGAGATGGTGTACTAGCACCCAAGACGACACGTGAATGTTTTGGGGGATTTGATGCGTAGGTAGAAGAAACAAAGCCTCAGTGTCGACATTCCCGCCCAAAAGCCACAAATCTTGAAGCTGTACACAGTTTATATGCTTCTTTTGTGCTGGGAGAGTGCGGGTAGATATCCTATCTTCTGTATGTGTGGAAAACTCAGCTGACTTACCTCACTTGCTTTCTTCAGCCAGGACGGGCGTCGTTGAGACGGCTCGGTTACCGGCACGGCGTTATAGAGAACATTTTCTCTGCGATTTGTAGCCGAAAAAGAAAGGTGGAAGAGTGGGAAAGGAGAAGAAAGGGAAACGTGCCCGGATACGTGGCATGGTGGGATTATGTGGATGGTAAATACCTACACATGACCTCGAGGTCTTTGATCTGACATCTGTGACTAGCGTTGCCAAGTGTAGCAACTCAGCTTGAGAAAGTTTTCAGCCCTTATTTTTCTGTTTTTATTGACGTAAAGAGGGTTATAGTTTCTAAATCAGCACTAGCTTGGAAATTATATTCACACTTATTCTTTCATCACAAGAAATCATATATTTGCAGATATGTTCGATGTTCGCCATCCTGTCTCCTTTAATCTGCTTCGAGACCTCCACGCAAACCCCAATCCTCTTTCTTCTGTGGGGATTTCTCAAAACTATACTCCAGATTCCACGTCCTCCGAAAGCTCCGAGAGTCAACATTTATGGATTTCTATTTGCAATTGGACCCGAAACTTTGCTATACAACCTCTATACACACCCCCACTAGGGCTTCGTGTTGAATTCTCAAGTATCTCTAGATTGAGGGGACACTGGTCCTTTCTATCCCCCGCCCCAGTCCATGGAAATGTCTATTGCAAGCCGATAGTGGATTCTTAGAGTGAAATATATTCAAACAAATCCTAGCTTTTCAAACCATGGAGACCAGTCCTTGTATTAATGGTGTCAATCCGGATGACCGGATCTCCTAAAACAAATGAGACCCTCAATTTATCAATGAGCCTTGTCATAATGAATCTTAAGATATGGTCTAAGACGCATCAAACATTCTGTGTGATGTCATCAAGATACTTGCTTTGCATTGAAATTCGTAGACGAGTATATTTGATGCGATTAGCTCCAAGAGAGTTATACCACGCCATGAGCATACTTGGGTGGCCAGGAGAGTATGCGACTCCGAAGTTAGATGGAAATAAGACGTTGAACTATAGTCTACAAGACCGACCAAGTTTTCTTAGCGTCGAGTTACATACTTTTGGGCCGCAAAAGCAGTGATACATCCGTGGAGACATGATGCTGATGCATGGGCCATAAGTGATAGCTTCGGCGTAGCCGAGATTGAGTGCACATTCGAATCAAACATCGTCTTCAAAATTCTTTGGTTAATTAATCAACACATATTCCCATCTAGAACCAAGCATCGAATGGTTCGGAAGCTAACTGTTTATGTATGTGTCAATTTTTTTCTAAACTCAGAAAAGATTTGTTAACAAAATCTACATCTGGGAAGAAACATTTTTTAAGATTCATCGATTTCGGTGATTTCGGTGTGTATACACTTTCATTCACACCAAGATAGCTTCATAAAAAGCGTCGGAAAGAGTTCCGCATTAAGAAGGTACACCCAATATCAGAAACCGATGATTTGAGGGGTCAATTGCGGGACGAGCCCACTGTCACGGTATGGAACAAACCGTCGCGAACGGCTGAACTTCGAAATGTGTATCATCCCGTGTCTAGACTTCGGGGTTCAATTAAAGTTTCGAGATACATGTGGAAGCCCTGTTGAATTCAAGGCTAGCACCTGTTCAAACTTCAAAGCGTTTGGCATCACGCTAAGATGGCAGATTACGACTGAACTCGTAATTTGCGAGTTCAGTTGGCGTTTACTCGCTTGTGGCGATAGGAATAGACAGGAGACGTGCAAAAACTGGAAGATAATCATTGTAAGGTTTTTGAATGCGGCTCGAACATCTGATTACACGGATTGGCATCACTGGATTGTATGTAACCAAAAGGACTACTACTTGCGAAGTCTAACAGTTGTATATGCCGATGTCAAAGCAAATGTGCTATCCCTGCCTCGGTAGCTTCGGAAATTGTTCATTTTGCAATCAATTGAACATTTCTAGCTGATTTCTGTAGCAAAGAGCTTGTCTGTCAGCATCAAGCCATAGGATTTGCTCCGTCGGCTCTTTTTTCTAATAAAATACTGAAGCACAGACGTTGCCCTTAACTGGAAGGGCTCGGTACCGGTATCATCATAAGTGCCTAACAGTGTTGAATAGAGTTTGTGGATAAAATGTCTTTCTTAACGGCCTTGAAGAGGACCAAGCATCAATGAATGTTCTAGCTTCCCACGACTTATTGCCGATGCGACTATTGAGCCACCTCCGTGATAGAATGATGCACTCTGATAGTAGTGCGCTTGAAGAAATCCTTGCTTTGACGTGGAAAAAAGTATAACGATACATCATAACGTTCATCAAGTCAACGATACATCCTTGAATTCCCTCTACCCGAGGTTTGAGGAAGGCGAGAACACTTGAGCCGTCCTGTATCAAACTCGTCAACACCGCAGTACACATTCATATCCACATAGAATACCATACGATCATACGAAGTCCCTAGCTAGGTATGTACAACATACCTCTCAAACAACTTCGAGATGGTGCAGACCCATACGTCGTTTCGAATGATCTTCATACAAGTCGCATTGGCACGAGTACAACCCCGTGCACACTCTCCATTGCAATGATCGCATCATACATGTTGAAGCCACGATAGTAACCTTACGACGGATACATCCTACCCGCAATATAGAAGACTAATTTCGAGCGATAAAAATCAATGGAACATACGCACTACCTCTGTATGTAATGTTGATATCCACACCTAGTAAATATTTATCCGCCAAACCCCCACATCCATCCAAAAAAATCGAAGTGGGGGATCTTCCATCCCCTGTCTCTCCATCCATCCATTCTTTTCAGCCTCCCGCTTCCTCTTCCTCGTTCCAAATCCACGGCTGAAGAACTCGGTTACCTCACCATATACAGTGCTTACATACATATTACATACATACATTCCTCACATTTACGTTTCAGCTGAGGAACTACCTCCTCAACATTATCGGGAGTTAAAAAGCAAAAAAAAAACTGTCTTTTTAAGTTTCGATTTGTCAGATCTGATCCCCGTGGGCCCCCCCAATTACCCTTAGAATTCAAAGGGGGTCCCCATATTTGGAGAAGAAAAATCTTCATGTGAGGAGGCTTTGAGCTTGATGTCAAGCTAGTTCACGCCATGAAGAAGAAGCTGTGTCCAGAAGACTTCCAAAGCTTCATCGTACTGATTGGGAAAGAAGAAACAGTCAATACGTACAAACTTAGCCGTGAACACGCGGTGCCCAGGTGGTGTTCGGTGCCGGAATGACTAAAAGGAGATATGTCGTATTTTTAAGAACTCGTTGATTCCTTTTTGCACCCCCAAAGATATCATCCATGTGATTATCAATACTTCTACATTTCATTCGGCTCGATTCTCCCGATCCTCGCTTTAGCATGGCGAGGATCGTCGCAGCGTTCGTGGCTCGAACAGAAATCATGCTGTATAACTGGCTCGTAGACAGCCACATATGCGGACACTAATGTAAGGTACTCGACTAGAATTATCAAAAGAAAATCTCGCCCACCAGAAATTCGGACTTTTGAAGATGGACATTGGTTAAAATATTATATTTGAACATGAATGGAGACTTGGATGAAGCCTGTAATCAGAAATTGTGTATCTGTGTATGCACCGAAGCTGAACCTTTCCCTTGCTTCTCAATGAATAAAAATTCCATGCTGTTGATCGCTCAATATGCTCCTTCGTCCCTTGCTTTTGCAAATACCTGAGATCCAGCTCTTTCCATGTTTTTTCCCTAGCCGTTGACGATACAAGAGAAGCAAAATTGACCAATAAAACTCCATCGGTGACGAATATATATCCCCAAATTCAAAATGAAACCCATCCAATAGCTTTCCCGAACACCCTGCTCAAAAAAGCTCGCCTAATAAAGAAGTACATCGATTCGCTGAAGTGCTATGTTGATGCCCGGAATTTGTTTCGGAAGAAAATCGTCCAAAATCCTGCCATGTGATGTTGGGGGTATTGGTGCAAGGTCAAACGCGAAATAAAAGTGTCAATCATGGTACGTGAAGTCGAATGTGATATGTGGAACCTCATAGAGATTCTGGAGGATTGGTGATGACGTCGACGTTCATGAGCATAAAGGGCAATGCCCGGGCACGACAATGTATCGTTCATGGGGCCCCTTTGCACATTGGCGTTCTTTGCTTCCGTCGATGGAGGTTGAGAAGTAGTGAGCTCCGGGATCGATACATGAAGTGTAGATGTAGTAGTTCCTTGTGTATTCGCACATGGTTCTGAAGAGAATGGTGTATTTTGAGGATGGCTTAGGTATAGGTCAGTATGGCGAAAAGGGTTGGAGGAGTAGGTAGCATACGTACTAGGTGGGGCTAGGGGAAATAGTGACGTGAGGTATAACTTCAATGAAGCTCGAGTTGGAATGCGAGTGTGAAGTTGATATCGGACAAGTACGAGTCAGGGAGAATCTCATACCTTTATATATCCACTGCCGAAACTTCTTGAGGCTGAAATATAATGAAAAGAATAGTTGTGGATATATCACCTGAACCTTCCCTGTCACAATGTTTGAAAAAGCAACAGAATGTAAACAAGTATGAAGGCGTCACGGAAAGGTAATCAATGAGAAAAGTAAGGGAAAGTTGTAGCCACCAATGTCAAAATGGTGTCTGAGCAGAGACAAATCGGTGACTGTGTTAGATCTTGAGTACAACTGTGATATTGTAACCTGTACACGATAGATACAAACTCAAGAGTCAAGAAGCGAAGAAAGAAACGAATGATGATACCATATACCTACTCTAAAGTTGCGGATGCGAACGGATGATATACGCTGCCAGCGGGGAGGGCTCGGTAAATCAAAGCTTCACACCCGTAACCCCTGGTGGGATGGCGCGCCGCGTACCCAAACATCCACAGGCAGAGAGAGATACAACGAGCATCCGTATCGGGTACCGGGCAGATGAGCGTGGGAAAGGCGACTGTCTGGTATGTATCAGACGCCATATTGGGACTTTGCACCTACCATCCATAGTTCATGGGCATTGGGGGCTGTTGGAAATGTGGATCATGTGGGAGGATCCGATTTAAGAGACGTGGGAACTGGACAGGGTATGCCCGTGTGAGATTTGGTTGTGTCTGTTAGATAAATTAACTGGTGCGGTGTTGTGCGAAGCATTTTGGGAACTTTTGAGTGAAAGTCGCAGCTTGAGAGATGTGTGTCCGTGACATGGCGTTGAAAAAAAAAGTAGCGCAAGGTCCGTGATTTCTTGGATCTAAACCTGGTGGAACCATGTCAATAACCAATTCTCAATAACGATTTGATGTATGTATACATGTATATCTGTACGGATGGGGGCGATGAAAAGCAAAAGGCATCTTGTACGAAAGAGACAATTTCCCGTTCTGAGAGTCATTACATCCATCGGCACACATCAATACCTAGATAGATTTTGAGATCTTCCCATTACTCCCATTACAGAAAATCTTACAAGGACGGAAAGGGCTAGAAAGGCTGACGAATACAGATATCTGTTCGACGAAAGCATCTAGCTAATATCTCCAATACTTGAGAAAAAACATTGAGAATGATCAAATATGGTAATATGGTTGTTCATCTCCCACAAACCTGCTCAAACGCGTACTCTACAAGGAATTACAAGGACTTTGCAAACCGGGGATTATCCAAACGGGACCTCCTATCGGATCGTGGATTCAATAATTTATTCCAGAAGTCGTCTGTACTGCACTAGATCTAAGCACGCATCCCTATCTTATCTCGCCAAAACCTCCTATTTGCGTATTCTCTACCGTGCTCTTCGATCACGATCTACTCAGATCTCACACACCATGCTACCGCCAAATCTCAAATCGATTTGATGAAGCGGAACCGAGATATCGAAGGGCAAAAGCAATTATTTGCTCAATGCAAGCAAGTCTGTGCCCTATGGATCCTATCTATTTCTACCCCGAGCCCCAAGGAACACACCCACCCATGTAAACGGCTCGACGGCGATATAATTGCAAAAGTCTAAGGAGGGCTTGTGGAACCAGATTTCATACATGGGGCCGCAGGATCGTTGCTGTCTTGCTGCTACTAATTTCTCGGGACATGATTTCAAAGAATGCCGAGGGAAGAAGTAAATGTATGATAAGAAAATGTCCTCAAAATTGTCCACTTGTGATAATTCCCGAGGTTTTTTCAGGTGTAAAAATAGCAAGTGCCGAAACTAGCTCAAGGTCACATGCGATAATTTTTAATAGACATACGATGTACACAGTAATACAGGACATGAACAAGTCCCAAGGAGCTAAATAACCTCATCGGTGATACTTTTACTACCTGTCCTCACCTAGGTCCTTTGCCTTGCTTCATCTCACCGTTGGATAAAAAAGAGGTCCAAGCTGAAACTAATACATCACTGGATTTATTTACAGGTCATAGCAGATTCTCGTCTGATATGTATAAGGAATTATTCGCCATTTTTGCTGCATAAGAATGCATCAGCTACGGGAGCTAAAAACAACCAGCCGGTTAAGCTCTTAAGGTTTCTGACACAAAGATGGATTCAAGGACAGCTGTCTCCCAGCACTACCAATACCAAGCTCGCACTCGGGAACCAGGGGACGTGACAACAGTGACATGTAATTATCGGGGAATTCATCTATGTGGCACGAGGACATTGACAGTTTGGAAAGGCTGGCATATCGGCTACTCTCCCCCGTCCACGGTTAAGCAGTATGCACTGTATGTATTAGAGTATTCTTTAATTCACGGAATGTATCAGTATCAGCATCAGCATATGCCGAAAGTCATCTAATCTAATCGTCTCTATGCCATAAACACACACGTCCCGTCCCTCTCATCATCGTCTCACTCTTTCAGATTTCTTCAATCGAGGACGGGACTAGGTATGCTTCATGCAAGATCACAGAACCGAGCCTCCTCCGAGGTTGTTTCCCCAGGTCGAGACTCTAGGCTCATTTCAATCCCGGGAATACGTACAGTATCCTCATAGTGTTCCTGGTCATTTCGGTAAAGAAGCCGTTCGAACGACTGATATTATGGACCCGCCGGTCTGGTTGAAGAATCTAATCCTAGCATTGCAAGGTGCAACGAACTTCCGGGTTTTGAAGTGAGAACATTGAAAGTGCCCTACTTATGTAAGAGATTTTAATCTCGATGTCAATGTCGGGAAGAGCGGCGGAGAATTCCGAAAGCTACAGTTGATTTATCTAGACGATCTCAAAATTCACTATCCGTGATCGTGTTTCGAGAACCTTGAAGGGACAGTCGCTCTTTCTTTTGCGAATTGATATGAGCATTATTCATTTGTTCAGCTTCTGGAAGCATGGAAATGATGTATTATGTGTGGAAAACTAGAAGTGAACTAACTCGGCAGCCTTCTTCCTATCCCTGAAAAGCCCCAGTTGTCTTCCGAGAAGCAGGTGCTTTGGTCTCAGGTACCAATTATTTAATATAACATAACCACCGGATTAAGCTCCACAAACCTAGATTTGACCCCGTATGTCAACGTATCATGCTTGCAGAATCAGAAGTAATCCCGCCTACACCCCTTTGTCATATGCTGTGTAATCTCTTACAACAAACCGACGATGACTGCCAATCCACCAAGCAAGCCAGCTCCAGCACCAATTTCCTTTTGAAGTCCCGCGTTACTTGTGGCAGAAGCTGACGCAGAAGTCGAGGATCCAGTTGCTGTATTTGACGAACTTGTGCCCGTTCCCGAAGCTGTAGTTGAACCTGAAGTTGTTGTGGCTGTCGCTCCAGTCGCACTGCTTGTTGCGCCGGACGAGGTCGAGCTAGCGGACGATACGCACGAGACTACTGATGGTAAATTGGTTACGCCCGAAGTTCTACATAGATTCTGAGCATAAGCAACTGCAGTCTGCTCATCCTCGGCATCACAGGCGTCGGCCAAGCAACACGCGATGCCACTCAGAAATGAAGAGTTTGAGCAAATGCAGGCGATGTCGAGGCTGGCGCATCCAGCGATTTGAGAGCCCGTCGTGTACTGGGTAACACACGATTGCTACATGGAATATTGATATCAGCAAGCTGGCTTCATGATGCACAACATATTGACACACGGCTGAACCAGAGATAAGGGTGATTGGTATAACGATGGGAAGGAAAGCTTATCCAAACTCACTGCACAGGTTGGGAGACCATTCTGTGCCGAGGTGAAACCTGCGAGCACTGTGGTGATGGCAATCACGAGGGAATTAATCTTCATGTTTTCGAAAAAGGACGACGATAGATGGTTTAACGAGTGAGTTGTCGAATTGATTGAGTTGCTTTGGCAAAATGAGAGTAAATTCGCGCAGACTGGGTTGAAAGATGGATGACCTCGGGATTCAAGAGAACTCTGAAATTCACTGTCTCTCTCAAAGAGGAGGTAGCATTCAGGTTTAAATAAAATCAAGCCATACAGAGTACAAGTTGTGCAAGCCACCACCATACCATTTCGCGATTGGCACGACTTGCAGTTCGCGTCTGGGAAACAACATTGGCAGCATCGGCACTGCCCCTGCTAAAACCTTTTTGTACAACAAACTCAAAATGACAATCGCAGCTATACTGAGGAATTCACGAGGTAATTAATTTCTTTTCTTATTGTTGAATGGATAAATAGAAAATTAAGAAATGAAGGTCATCACGGTCGAACTTTCAATTACCAGTATCTCCTAGCTCTAGGTTCGTATTTTTCATATACAACCCTAAAGTTTATATAAAGTTTTGGCAAAGTATAAGTACCTAGGTACCTCGCTAACAAGATAAGATGGTAATTGCAAGACTTGAATGAGTAGCTCTCCAGCTATATCAATACTGCCTCATCTGTACTAGATAGCTACCTGCTAGGTGAATAGATAGTAGGTAGTCTTTTCTATTCGTGGTCAATATTGAGTCTATGCAACAGACTACCGGTAGTAAGTGAATCATTGCTTTCACATCTTGTTGATAGGTCTCATTCCAAATATACCCTTTAACAATTGCTTCTAAATTCTTCAAGACAGTGTCTATTCAAATAGCCAAATTGCATAGATATTGTCGATATTAACAGTATAATTAGTTCTGTTTTTGTTTACCATTGATTTCTATTAGATCACCACCCTATCTATCTATCTATCTATCTACAAGGGCATGTTTTGATGAATGTCAGACTGAAATTTAAGCGAATTTCCTCACGAAAATCATACTTTATTTTATATATTTATAAATATATAATAATTCAAATATGATTATAAAACTTTGAAATTTATAATATATAAAGAGATTTAACTAATAATTATTTTGAAATTAGAATTATTAATTTTTGAACTAAATTAATAATAAAATTCTATATAGAAATTTGATTCGTAAAATAAATATTATTTCTCATAAAAATTTTAAATATCAAAAACTCAATATAATTTTGATTTAATTAAAAACTTTAATAAAAAAACTAAAGGTTTATTATTAGATTTTAAATAAAAATTTATCACTTTACAAAATTTCAAATATATAATAATATTGATTGATTTTAATATTGAATTCTAAATGAATAAATTTTAATATAGAAAAGTAACTTTGCACACAGAACCCAGTATTCAATAAAAACATGCCCTCATACCAAGCAAGATACTCTTCCTCTTCCTTTTCTTTCTTGTCCTTTGTCCACCTGAATAGCTGGAAAGTAACTTGGGAGCTTAGCTATAACGTGGTTTATCATCGGATCGCCAATATCACCAGATCGCTACTTTTTTCATTATT